AGGCACACAACATTATGTCCAACTTTATTTATTTATTTGTTATTTTTATTTTATGTGTATGAGTATATTGCCTACATGTATGTAGATGTACCAATGTCATCCAATGCCTGTAGAGGTCAGAAGAGGGTGTTGGATTCCCTCGAACTGGAGTTATAGATGGTTGTTAGCCACCATGTAAGTGCTGGGAATCTAACCTGGGTCCTCTACAAGAGCAGTCAGTGCTCTTAACCACTGAGCCATCTCTCCAGCCCCTCTTTCCATTTTTTAAAAACAATTTCTACTCATTCATTTCAGTTCCTAATGGCTTAATTTTATCTAAATATACAACAAGCAGCAAGTCCACATGACAGCATCAGACTGTACTTAAAAGTCCAGTGGGTACCACCACTCCCTTCATCCTGTTCACAACTGTGGGAACGCCTCACCCCATGACAGCACTTGGTTAGCCATTTAAGCCCCATCAAAGTAGGGGCTGTCTGTTTCATGTTCCTATATAATTTCAATAATTAGAAAGTATTTGACACATGGTAAACAATACATTTTTGGAGGAAGTAGGGAAAAAAAGAAAAAAAGAGTGAGAGGGAAAATGAAAGAAAAATGACAGAGAGGGAGAGGGTGAAATGGGTGGATGGAGGGAGAGAGGATGGAAGGAGAGGTGGATAGAGAGAAGGGGCAGAGGTAAGACACATGTAAGGAAGATGCCGTGCAATTTCTTGTTCATAATGCCCTTGCTGATAGACCCAGAGCCCTATGAATGTAGCTCACTTCATCTCTGCACCCTCAGTAAATCATACAGCACTTAACTCATCTTAGCCAACTAAGATTTAATGAATAAATTATTAAATAAATAAATGAACACATGTGTTTGTATACAGTGTTGGTCTCAATACTTTCGAAGTTCTTCAAGAGAAAAGCCAGTTCCCCCAAAGAGAGAGACATAGGCTTTGCCTCTTGTCTGCAGAGAGGGTGTGTAAGCCCAGTGCCTTGCATGAACCGAATCACAGTTCAGAAAACATCCTTAATGGTCACCATTCACCAAAACCCTGCCAGCAGAAAATCCAGTAATTATATAGATATCAGATAAAAGACAACATAGAAACAGAGCAACCGGAACCTACTCATGTCAAAGAGGTCCTTCCGTGGGCTGCTCTCTGTGCTGCTGATTGTGGCTGGCCAGACATGTGGAGGGGCTGGCTGGGTGTTGACATAGGTTGGTAATTCTCCTGCAGGAGCCAGGTGTACTTTCCCTTCTGGTGTGCTGTAGATGTCCAAGGAGGCTGCAACAAGAAAACGAGCCTGTTGCCTCAGCATGGAGATGCTTTTCCTGCCTCTGCCTGGCCACACACACTCCGTGGAGGAGCTTCTCACCACCCACACTCCATGGAGCTCCACCTATTCTCCAAGGAACATCTCCTCAAGCCTACTGGTAATAATGTTCTTCCTCTAAGCCTGGCAGCGCCATGTCCTGGTCAGGATGCTTCCCAGACCTTCATTCCAAAACAGGAACCTACAAGTACTGGGGTGGGCACTGATGGTCAAAGGCCTTACCCAAGATGGATATATAACTCGACAATGTCCTAGGACCCTGGCAACCTAGCAGGCAAATACCCAACCTGTCCTCTTCTTCAAAAACATGACCACTGCCTTGGTTTAATTGCTCTTTTATATTTACTTTGGTTTTGTTGCTGTTGTTTTTGAGACAAGGTCTCATGCAGCCCAGGCTGGCCTCAAAATCACTGTGTAACTGAGGCTGGCCTTAACTCCTGATCCTCCTGCCTCCTGAGTGCTGGGATAACAGGTATGCACCACCACACCTGGCGCAATTTCTGTTTTTTTAAGGTGGTTGTGAATGCTCTGTTAATTATAAAAAGCCTCCCCCTGTAAGTTGAGATGCTCTCCTTCAAAACAGCTGCCACTGCTGAACTGGGTTGGGCAGATGACTGAGCAGCCCCCTCCTCTGAGTCAGTGACAGTGCATCAGGGGGACCTCTCAATGGGCCAGAAGGGTACTGAGACTGAGTCCAGGGTGCCAGCTGTTCTCCCACCCAGAGGTGGTATTCAAGTATTACTTAAATAATTCTTTCTGTGTGTGACTATCTCTAATTCACCTGCACAACAGTGACTCTTTGTTAATGCTCCCTTAGGAAGAATAGTTACCAGCAAATTCATGAATAAATTCTTATTTGTTCTATGGAAAAAGATACTTACTGATTTTTTAAAATAAAATCTTGGATTCAGGCATGGTATTCATGCCTGTCATCCCAGCACTCAGAAGGCTAGGGCAGAAGGTTGGCTACAAGTTCAAGGCCAGCCTGAACTATCTAGCAAGATACTATATTACAAAACACCAAAGCAAAATTAATTAAAGATATAAGAACTTGAAACTTTTTTGGGCTATGGAGTCTCGAGTTTCCATAGAGCATCCATTTTGCCAGTCCCCAGGGCCTCACACTGCTACTCTGCAGGAAGAGGGTAAACCCCAGGCCATCACACCTCCTATGTGCTTCTTGTCCTCTGGCTTTGCCTCTCACCTTGCCTGACGGGTGCTCGCTGCCAGTCTTCGCCAAATGTATCTCCTAAATGTTTTCCCTGGTAATAAGTTTGCTCCTTTCCTGAAAACTAGAGACATGTGTCAACATACAGAAAGGAAGAATCATCTTCTTCTCATTCACCATCTTTGCAAGCCAAGGTGGGGTTTTTACAGGGTGAGGACAGACTCCTTGACACTCACTTTTCCCATCACACAGCACAGCTGGCATTACATTGGACAGATGAGCTTGTGTAGGTGTGAAGGAAAAGCCACAATCCCCTCACTGCTGCAATGCTCTCCTCGTTTTCATGACCCCCACATTCCCTCCTGAGAGTGACCAAAGAGAGTTCTCCCTATATAGCTGGGTTACTCAGGCACCACCTCCCATCCAACTCGTGTGCCCGTGGCCATCCACAGTTGGGGAAGCCCACCCCCTGAGAACCAGGATCTTCAATGTCAAAGTCTTCATGTCAATGCTGTTTTTACATTTTTATTGGTGCCACTATCACTGACAAAAGTAGGTAAAATTAAAAATATTTAGAGCTGGAAGTGTAGTTCAGCATCCCATGCACAAGGTTATGGGTTCCATCCTAGCACCCCAAAAGAAAGAATTTTTAAAGCCACCTATAAAAGATGGAGACATAATATGTAATAGTTTAAAAAAGAAATTTTGATGTTACTTAACTCAACTTTTGAGTTAAAGATTACTTGAGTTGGAGGGTGTGGTAGTTAGTTTTAATTGTCAGCTTGACACAACCTCGAAGCATCTGGGAAGGCAGTCTCAGTGAGGGAATGTCTACATTGGGTTGGCCTGTGGGTGTGTCTGTGGGGCATTGTCTTAATTAGGTTATGAGGAAAGACCAATCCCACTGTGGGAAGCACCACTCCCTAGGCAGGGAGAATTATACAAGGGTGGAGAAAGTCAGCTGTGCATAAGCAGGCAAGCACAGGAACACGTGTGTATTCACTTCTCCCTGCTCTTGAGTGTGGGTGTGATGTGATCAGCTGCTTCAAGCTTCCATGACTTCCCTGAGGTTGACAGACTAATCTGGGACCATACCCAAAGGAAACCCTTTCTCCCCATTTCTTTTTGTCAGGGTATTTTATCACAGTAACAGAAACAAAAGTAGAATAAAGTGGGGATGAATAAAACAGGAAAATGCACAAAATTCTCAAAATGTAAGGAGCTGGGTCCATTCTTTTCAGGGCACCCAAAGTATCAGGGCCTTTGAAAAGTCTCACATCTTCTCTTTCCCTCATTACAATCATAGAACAGAGGGCTGGTCCTAAGGCAGAGAGTGCTCCAATTCATATCCCAGGACAGTCACTGTGATTTCAAGGCACTTGGCTAATGCATTGCTCTGTGGAACTTCAGCCAGAAATAAAAAGAAAGAAGCAAAAAAAATGTCAGTAGAATTCCACCCAAGAAGAAAACCCTGAGACTTACCTGGGCTGCATCAGGAGCATGGGGTCTGGTTTTCAGTCGAGCATCAAGAAACCCCCCTGGAGGAGGCATCTTGCTAGGAACACTGTTGTAGTATGGGTGGTCAGGGCCATCTCCCTCCTCTTCTGTCCATGGCTCATCCAAACTCTGCATTCTGTTAAAAACAGATTTTCAGTGACTTCCATCCAAAATTGAGCATACAGGCAGAACCAAAGAATTGAACGTCAGTGCCTCTTACAGATACAAACCATTGTATATGGTTTAAGAAGACTTTCCACACCCACAGGTTCACACGTTGGAGGCTTGGTCCCCAAGGTGGCAGTGTTGGGAGGTGATGGGACCTTTAAAAAATGGAGTCTTTCAGCCGCAAAGGGACATCTATATCAGGCCCCCACATAAAGCACAGGGACCATCACAGAAGAGAAGGTGGAAAGATTGGAAAAGACAGAGGTTGAGGAGGACCAGAGCGAAACTGCATCTTCTGGACAAAACTGTGGCACTCATGAACTCATATCAGCTGAGGAATCCTGCACAATATCTGTATAAGATCAAGCCAATCAACATTCCAGCACTGGTGGGGGATCAGGAGCCCCAAACCCTAACTGAGGAACTACTGACAGTTGATGGCTTCTAGGGGAGGAGGAGTCCATTTTCTTTAAGGGTGTGGCCCCTCATAGGTTCACCACTCTCCTGTGGATGGCCCCACATTCAAGTGTATGGGCAGCACAAATTGGACTTAGTGGGTTATTTTAAGATGAGGACACAAAGTTGGAAGACAGTGGGGAGGTGGGAGTGGATCCAGGAGTTAGGGGAAGGAATGGGGGTGAATATGATCAAAATACATTGTATGACATTAAAGACACATGCAAACATCTAAGGGTCAGTAGCAATAAAAATGTAGGAAACAACTTATTTTAAAATGAAATGGAGATCTTCTTTAAAGGGTAAAAACTCATTCAATTTTATATCTTACAGGGTTTATACTGAGTTCAATATTGCATAACTGTATTAATTCCTCTGTGAACCTAAAAATTTACAGCCACTTTTGAAAGAGATGTATCCTTGCTCTGGAGTGTGTTACTGTCTTAAAGCTGTAATGAAATGCTTCTAATCACGTGGCCATTAAAATTTTTTTTTAATTAAAAAATAATAATTCTTCACTTCCCTCTGCTTCCCTGGGCCTGCATGACCCGCTGCCTCTCTCCGGGTAAGTCATTCACACCCTCCAGGCTTTGACTCTCCCAGCCTCATTCAACCCCCACCCCCCACCCAACCCCCATCTCTCCTTCTAGCCTGGGTCCTGTCCCATTCCTTGTCTTGGTGCCCCAGACACCAGGGAAACCACCACTGCTGCCTGGTCCTTTCCATCCAGACCAACCCAGTTCCTTCTCACCATCCCCAAGAGCCCTCTGGGCCTGGTCCTGCCCTCACTTCTCTCTGCTTCCCTCAGATGCAAGGCCCACAAGCCTGTTTCCTGGATGCCAGGGCTGAGCTCTCCACCTGGGGCCACCACTGCTTCCTGATCCCTGGCATCCAGACAGACTTACTTCCTTCTCGAGGTCCCCAGGAGCTCTCTGGGCCCGGTCCCGCCCTCACCTCCCTCTGCTTCCCTGGGCTTCACAACCCGCCAACCTCTTTCCTAGACACCAGGGCTGACCTTTTGGCTTCCTGATCCTTTGCATCCAGACCAATCCAGTTCCTCAGTGCAGTCACCAGGAGCCCTTGGGGCCTCTTCCCACCCCCATCACCCTTTGCATCTCTGAGTGTCATAGCCACCAACTGCCTGAGACCAGCATCTTTCCTGGGCCCTGCTCCCAGGCCAGTCCAACTCCCAAATTCCCGAGGCCAAAATCTTTCCTGGAGGGGTCCACACCTTAGGAGAAAGCCTGGGAGCATCTGATCCTCATCTGACTTGGGCCTCTGTGGGAACTCCTGAAGACAAAAGCAATCCGGCCACTCCAATATAAAATCAAAAGAACAAATATAAAATCAAAAGAGAGAACTGGAAGCCTAGAAGAACCAGCTTTTCATGCCCCCAAAGTAAACCACAAAGGCACATAAAGTTTACAAAAGGAAGCAGATCTAAACTAAACAAAGGAAGGCTTGAGTCTCACACAAGAACCAGAGTCTACAAAAGAAATCCCCCTGCCAAAGCCACAGACAAAAAATAACATGAAAAATCAAAATAATATATCCCCACCAACTATCATCAGCCCTCTAGAAGAGTACAATGAGAACTCCCTAGAGATAACACAGGTCACGGACTTCAAAACAACAATTATAAACATAATAAAAGAATTCAGTGAAATTAAGACCACACAAAGAAATCAAAGAACTGAAGGAAGATAGGGATAAACTTCTGAATGAATTCAGAAAAGAGTTAGAAATAGTGATGAATACTCAGG